ATATAAAGCAATCTATCTTATTTTCTGCTATACATCCCCTGTAGGAATCCTATTACCAAATAACACATTTTTGTAATGTCAGCAAGCAGGAAATCAACATAGGATATATCGGATTGACTAGGGATTCCTGTTAAGAGGAGAGCGACATAGTTTTGGCACAATATGATATAAAACCTCCGTACAATGTAAAAGAATTTATGTAATTGATTCTACCTTTTGTATGCCACTTGGATAGAGATGATAAGCCACAAGAAGATTACAATATCATAAGCGTACCTACTGTTCCCTTTTATTTGTACTCATTTCTTACGGATATACTTATACCTGCTTATACTTATATGTTTATATGTTATATTCATGCTTATACTTGTTTTCTCATACGTGCTTGATTAACCAAAATAAATAAATAAATATCTGCCCTATGACAATACTGAACTCATTCCAGCAACTCCTATAAAGCCCACCAGTAGTTCAGATGAGTCAGTGAGTAAAGACAGCCAGCCATACCTTTATGATTAATTGTGCAAAAGCTGGGAAATCAGTTCAAATGCAACTGCAACTGAATTTCAAGTACTTATTTAGTTATTAGCTGTTTTTTTAACATGAGGCCAGCCATGTTTATATAAAGTGGGAGAGAGAGGCCATGTGAAACTAAGGAACTTCATCCACAGTTGATTGAAAGGTATCACTTAAAACAGAATAGAGCAATCAGGGAGGTGATAGGTGAATTTAAACCAATAAATAAATATAACCAGCTACGCTCTTGTATCTACTCTAATCAGCTCTGCTTCTAGCCTGAGAGCTACATTCAAGACACGTTTGGGAGTACCGAATATACCAGCAGGGAATATCTCTTCGCTCTGAATGTGTTTATATTTCTGTTGGTCTAGAGCACTAAAAATACTTGGTGATGATCTGGCTGTACCTTGTATTTCTGAGAAATCCTGGAGAACAGATGAAGACAATTGCAAAGAACAAATGTCCCTTTTTTTAACACGCAGAAAAAGCAAGATTGGGGAAACTGTAGATTAGTTAGATAATAATACTATCTGGTATGTTTCTAAAGCAGATCATAAAACAACCATTCTATCAGGAGCTTGAAAAGATTGTGGTAATTATAGGTAGTCCTTCACTTACAACTGCAATTGAGCCAAAAATTTTGTTCCTAAGTGAGACAGTGAGTTTTTCCCCATTTTGAGGCCTTTCTTTCCACCATTATTAAGTGAACCTCCGCAGTTGTTAAGTTAGTAACATGGTTGTTAAGTAAATCTGGCTTCCCCATTGATTTTGCTTGTCACAAGATTGCAAAAGGGGATCGCATGACCCCAGGACCCTGCAACCGTCATAAATATGAGCCATTTGCCAAGTGTCTAAATTTTGATTATTGTGACAACGGGGATACTGCAATAGTTGTAAGTGTGAAAAAAAATCATAAGTCACTTTTTTCAATGCCACTTGTAACTTCAAACTGTCATTAAAGGAATAGTTGTAAGTTGAGGACTGCCTGAACTAGAAATCACCATGAATTGGTCAATAGCAGTAGCAGTAGACTTATATACCGCTTCATAGGCCTTTCAGGCCTCTCTAAGCGGTTTACAGAGAGTCAACATATTGCCCCCAACAATCTGGGTCCTCAATCTGTTCTGGTCAAGAACAGATGTTGTCAGGCTGTGTTAATTTTTTTAATTGAGTCACTTTCTTAGTAGATTGTGAGAATGCAGTACATATAATATATCTTGATTTCAATGAAAACGTTTAACAAAGGGGTTTCTGATAAGCAGCTAGCTAATATGCACTGAATGTCATTACTAAATGGAGGCATAGCTGGCTCAAAAGTAACATTATACATGTGAAACTTTTCAGAGGTCCGATATTGTTCTATGTACAATCCTTGTTTGATTGATTGCATGTAATATTCCAATTATCTGAGATGGTAGATTTGGGGTTTTCATGAGCTGTAAGCCATAATCATCACAATTATGACAAATCACGATTTGAACTATCTTGCTTTGCATGTAATGAGTCTTATCTCATATATTAGTTTCACCTTTTAAGTTGCATTGCTGAAATAAATGAACTTTTGCACGATATTCTAATTTTCAAGTTTCACCTGTATGTATCTATAATACCACGTCAAACTGGAGTGAGATATTGATTTGTATAACAGGGTTTAGTCCTGGGCCTTGCAGTTTCAACATTTTTATTAAAGGTTTAAGAGGTGGAGGCACAATTTATGAAGTTGTTAAATAATATAACATAGTTAATGTTTTGAGAAATGGAAATTATTTTAAATCTTCATAGATCAGGGCAACATGCTAAAACAACAGAATAAAATTTAATAGAGCAAGAGTCTTCACAATGGAAATAGAACAATGTATTGGTAAATAGATGGATATATCTAGTTTGGCATAATTTTTCTTAAAGAAAAAAAAGTGCCTCTCCAATTATTTTATGGAATCAAACAGTTCCAAAAACATTGACCATACTGTTTGAAAATCATCTATCTTCCTGCTTTGACAGACAATATTTTAACTCGTATTAGTAGTCCATTACTGAAAAATGGATATCTGTAATAATTTTTGTTAAGCAACTACGCCTGAAAAGTTTAAATTATTCTATATTAAAAGATGACAAACACTACAATATCTAGCCAATAAGAAATATGGTTTTCAGCATACATTAGTTGATTCAAAGTCATATCATTGTTGATTCTGATCTACAGTGTGATGATGAAGCTAAATTTCTTATGTTAACTATGTAACTAAATTCACACTAATTGAAACACGTCAGAACATACAAACTCTTTATTCCAGCAGTGGCATAAAATATCTCATAACACTTCTTGAAATTTCTAGTAAAAACAATTTTAATCCTGCCCTAATCCTGTGATGGCGAACCTATGGCATACGTGCCACAGGTGGCACACAGACCCCTCTCTCTGGGCACGTGAGCCAACGCCCCAGTTCAACTCCACTGCACATGCGCACGGAACTCCCACCGCCAGCTGTTTTTTAGGTCTCTGCCGTGCAGGTGTGTGGGCTGGGGCACATGCAGGAGATGCACGCCCCTGTGTGGGGGGCTTGGTGCACTTGAGGCATTCGTGCGTGGGAGGCAGGGCACGTGTACATTGCATTATGGGTGCACATGTGCGCTTTTGGCACGCGATGACAAAATGTTTGTCATCATTCCTCTATCCTCTAGGGCGCTAAGAATAGACATATAGTTTCCAGTTCATGGGAAGTAATTACTATATTCTGTGTTTATCAGACCTATCTTACATCTTGCATTTGGTTTTAAGCATTGATAAGGAATCAGATAAACGAACAAGTTGAGGAAAGGGAAAACAGGATGATCCAAGTTTCATAGAGCCTAGAAAGAGAGGTTGCAGAATGGATATGTTCAGGGTCAGACTAGATAGCCATCTGTTTGGGATGCTTACATTTGGGTTCCGAGGCGACTGGGTTCAATATCCAAAATTCCCCCTTCCAAATATGTCAGAGGTAGGTTTCTGCCGGTTCAGCCTGGATGAGGCGAACTAGTAGTGGCGGCGACGGGAGGCTCCACTCACCCACCCTGATGCTTCTGCACATGCGCAGAAGCATTATGTGAGCACACGAGCAAACCGGTAGTAAAAAAATGGAAACCCACCACTGAACTATACCTGTATAAATCTGTGCAGGATTTTCACCATATCCATGCTTAGTGTTTGCTTTACACATTCTTATATTATTTTGTTAAAAATACAAATGGAAGAATTTTGCTGAACTCATTACTTTGTGAGATTTCTTTTTATTAAATTCTTATCAAGACTAACATGTAATTCAAATTGGATTTTTTTTTCATTTCACTGACTGCAAATTCTATTTGGCAATCTCGCCATCCATCCATCCAAAATTTCAAAATAACTGCATAAATATTTGTATGTATTTTCATGAACATGTCTAATGTACACATCTGATCTATTTGCACATTTTTGCAAGTACTTTTATATATACCTTTCCTAAAATTAACATTTTGGTACATAGTTTTCACAGTGCACAATTTTAAGCATATTGTTCAATTGTAAACAGAATAACAAAATTCCCAAATGCACATTTTGATATATATTAGTTTTTCAGGCTGTCCTATATATTGCAGCATTCCAATATTTACAGGTATATAAATTGAATCCACATTTATAAAGGTATTATGCTACTGTTGCTGCTTCAAACATTTTTTCTCCTTAACTGGAATGTAATTAGCTAGCAGTAGCTATTATAAGAGATTGGTGATATTTCCATAGCAGACATGCCTAATATTTGAAAGGAGCCACTATTCTTTAAAAGGCAACTGGTGTCAAATAGCTTCTGCTAAATGCGATGCATTTATTTAGCAAAACTTTAAAGGTTTAACTTTCTAGATCTTTTTTTTCCCTCTGGGAGAGAGGCCAATGTTGACTCTGTGTCTCCTCTAGGAAAATTCATTTGCTTGAAGATCTGAAAGAGAGCTTCCAAAGGGAATAAATAACTTGCAAAAAACTGTGTTGCCTTTATTGCCTCTCTTGGGAATTCAGCAAAAAACACAAGGCACAAGATCCTTAGCTATTGCAGTGTTTGGAAAGGAATGGCCATCTGCTAGTATGAGCAAAACATGCACTGGTTGCAGTCACATGTAAACTAAACCAAGACGTAAATCATAGTTTATTGAGCAAATCAGAGCAGCTTCAATTGCACATTAAACTATGTTTTACATTGTTTATTATAACACACCAGCCAGACATCAAGGATAAATATCTGCTTTTCCTGTCTTCATTCTCCTGGCTGGATGCCACTGTTGTATATTCACTTCTAATCTAAATTAGTCTTAAATGAATCCTTGAAATAAGCTTTCCTTTTTTCAACAAAGGGAAATGGTTAACCAAGGTTGCAGTTGGGATAGAGGGGAAGAGAAGGTTGATACAGAACAGTCTCTTAGATTTTTTTTTTAATTTAGTCTCTCTTCTTTTGTCTTACTTTTTCCAGGGGATGTCCTGTTCCAGATGGCTGAAGTCCATAGACAGATTCAAAATCAGTTAGAAGAGATGGTAAACACTTGTGTTCTTATTAACTTGTCTTTTTGCAGAGCCTAGCCAAGGGGCAGCCTGCAGAGCCTTTGATACACGTGGATTTAAAATTTAAACACATCTGCTGTAGAATAGCTGCCAAGTCCTTTAAGTAAGAATAGGGACCTCAATTCAATAAATTGTGGGCCAAACAAAATTGCAAATCATGTGCTGGCTTTTGAAATGTCCAAGAAATCTGACCATTTTCAAGTAATTTCCTGATGAATTAGGAGATATATGTCCTTAATTATGCCTCGACCTATAAGTAGAGTGGCCAATTAAACTTTACTCAAAAGAATAAGAAATAGAGATTATTTTACATAGAAATATGTTGAATCTCAGCCTAGTGAGATTCGGAAGTCGGTTAACAGATGACCTGCATGCCTTCTCTGACTTCTCTCCAGCTGCCAACTAGAAATGAGAAACTTTTATTTTTATGTCTTATGCTTCTTTATTTTCAAGACAGAAGTGAATCAAGTAGCTTTCAGCTAGAGAATATCTTCAAAAATTGTCCTCTAAAGCAGAATTCAACCATGCTACTTACAACTGTTCATTGCTTGTTATTCGAATTATCCATTATTGCTTCATTGCTTTATTTCATTTCATTTTACTATATTTATCTGCCATTCTTTCTTTTATCATCCACTTATTGATCTGTCAGGTACCTTAATGTAGATTATTTGTATTTATTTATAGTTTTCCTCCAATGATTAATATTAATATTTACATTTGTTCTGTTCACTTCTCAGCTGAAGTCCTTCCACAATGAACTACTAACACAGCTTGAGCAGAAAGTAGAGCTAGATTCACGGTATTTAAGTGTAAGTAGCAAGCAACTTTTATTGAATGTAAATTGGATTAGTAGCTATGTAGTTATTAACATGGCATTATGAAGCTAACAAAGTTCAACTACCTGACAGTGAGCAAAACTATAAACTTTGCCTAGAGCAGGGATGACTTTGCAAGAACTGGCCAGATGGCTTAATCTGTTTTTGCAAGGTGCAGATTAAGAAGTGTTTATTCAAGATTGTTTGAATAAGCATTGGAATAAGTGCTGTAAGCAAAAAAAAACATTTATTCAAGATCATTTTATTCAGACAAACTATGCTTTAATTATTGCATAATTGTAAGGATGCTTGTGGTTTAAATTAAATCCACAGGGATTCTCATATAGTTTTTTTTTTAAGGAGATTCACATAGTCCTGGGGGAGGGGAAAGTGTTGTACTGTGTATTGGAATTGGATTCCAGGGACTCATGGGAAATGCTTTTTTGGCATGCCCCAAAGGAAGACAGCTTTTGTTTCTAATCAATGTACCCTAATTCAAAACATGTCCTCTACAGCAGGTGTGAGGTTGAGACCTTTCTGCCTGCAGGAAGCATATAAACTATGCTCATTACCCACAGGGGAAATCTCTGCCCATGTCTTCAGCCTATTATTATTTCAGCTATTCAGCACTCCCACACATCTTCCATGTTTCAGGCTGCACTAAAGAAGTACCAGACCGAGCAAAGGAATAAAGGGGACGGAGTAGAGAAATGCCAGGGTGAATTAAAGAAGCTTCGGAAGAAGAGCCAAGGAAGCAAAAATCCTCAGAAGTATTCAGATAAGGAGCTGCAGGTAGGTCTCTGAGTGATAAGCTGGGACAGAGCATCATCTAATTGGGATTGTATTTGATTGGCAGGTTGACGTTACCATTATGGGTTGGTCCATGGCAGATGGAACTAATTTGGGTGAAAGTCATTGGCGCTGGCTTTGAACTAGGGGTGGTAACCTCTTACTTTCCCTACCGGTTTGCAAATGTGAGTGCATTTGATTGCACACATGGCTTGCACACATGCGCACGGCTTGAAAATGTGGCTAAATAGGACGGCATAGTGCTTGGGCGGCCCCCACCCACAATTTCTATTACCAATTTGGGGGAACCGGCCTGAACCAACTAAATACCACCTCTGCTTTGAACCCCTTGGTATGAGAAAAGCCAGTATGGCCATAAGAATATAAAAGTTCAATCCTTTGCACATATCCTTGGGAGTAGATTTGACTCTGGTCGGTAGGATTTCTTTCTAAGTGAACAATTTGGATTGCAGATCTTTTAACTTGAATAGCTTCACTTTATTCTTTATGACATATTGACTAAAAGGTGAATATATACTGTAAATCCTGACATTCTATTTTTTGAAGAATTTTATCTACTAATAGTCCAGAATTGGTAACTGATGTGGTCATTGACATCTAAGAGTCCACTTAATTTTAAAACCAAAAACTGGTGTGTGTGCCTATATAATGTATTGTTTAGAATGGAACTCATTCTTTCCAAATCTTATATGTGCCAAGGTTTGCTGAAAACTACTGATGTACTTTTGTTCAGGCTTTCTGAATTTAACCTTTACTATTTTGGTGAGCTTCTAAGCAATGATTCAAAAGTTGATCCAGGTTTTCTTGCCTTGTTAATGTCGTGGCAACAACGTCTGATATTCTGTCTGCAATAGCTACATATTCAATTGTAGAACGGGATTCACGGGTTGAAGTGTATATTACTACAGAGTATGGGTTGAGGGGGGATTAAATCACTACTCCTGTGTGGATTGCCTGCAGCATAAACCTTCTTGGGGTTAAGAGAAGCTGTAGTAGAATTTCTAAGGAGGAATTTGAAGCTTGGGAGAATAAATGAAAAGCTTCAAGTGGAGGAGATTTGGAAAACCGAATGGCAACCAGATTCCCTCACACAGCATTATTCAAATGAATGCCTTGAGTCCAGAAAGCTTCAATCTGAGGCCTACAACCATAGGCCTCTCTAGCACTGACAGGCCAAGCTACAATACTCACTAATATCAGAGGGTGGGAATTGTGGTTGGATATTTTTAAAATTTCTATACTGCCCATCCCACCTAAGTGACTCTGGAAGGTCTACAAACAACCATATTCACAGTGCAAGCTTAACCCTATCATTTTTTATTGGTTTTATTGAGCAAATGTGATAATCTGCATTTATTTTTTGTTTGTTTGAAGACTATGCCTAAAAGAATAAAAATTTGCATCCTGAAATGAAATTGTTATTGCTATTAGATAATTTCATTGATTAAATGTAAATGCCACCCAACTGCAAGCAATTCTTATTGCTTCGGTTAATTTGCAGACTCAAATACATAGGGGAAAGGGTTTGGTCACCATTTACTAAAATGGTACCTGTTCTTTTTTCAAAACAAAGAGAAAATAAACTTTGGAATTTGGGAGTTTACGATTTGAAATTTCACCAAATGTAAAAGATAGATGATCAAGATGTTCCATAACCTGTATTTAGGATGTGCATCATCAGAAAAGTTGTCCTTCGTGCCTCATTTCTCTTAAGTCCAGAGGCAAAAGATGAAGCCCCCGGGATGTGGCACACTGCTGTATCTCATCCTAGTCTTAGGAATTCAGGAATTATGAAGTTATCTAAGCCATTGTGCATGATTATTACTGCACCTGGAACATGTCTGTTAAGATGCCAGATAAGCAACTCTTTGGAGTTACAGTATCTAAGTTTCTAAATGCAGGTATAAGAAATAATTGCCAGGTGATGCATATAAATAAAGAGTATGCCAAGAAACATCAGATATTTTATTGTGTGAAAAATATAAATTTTCTCAATCCTAATTGGCAGCGTGCCCTGAAAAGAGCTGCTCAAGAGAAGTAGCAGAGTTTTATTTGCAGTTGCCTCTCAGGTTGCCTTGAGCTATTTGATTGCAGAATGAAGTGCAAAATAATAGATAAACTTCAGAATATCCAAGCATTAGTCATTTTGGCTCAAGCAGAGTGACAACAATGAACTTTCACAGTGCTTTTTCTTTGGCACGATTACTTTTGATTAAATAAAATGTTCTCTTTACCTTGTGCTTTTATGTTTACTTGCTTAATTTATTTGCAATAGGTATTCCAGTAGTTTTTAAGAACTGGGTGAAAAAAACAACAAATAAGCCAAAATTAGAACTCCCACATTTTTAGGAGAACAGATATTTCATATTCCCTGTTCAGGTAGTGTTTGACTTGATCAGTCAAGTGTTCTTAGCTGTATTAGAGCAGAAATTTCAGAAAGACGTTTCTGAAGGAAAAATTTCCGCAAGGGCATTATTGTGTGACCTCTGTTTAAATTTCTTGGGATTATACTGCTGTATTGAAGCCTATCCTTACACCCTTCTGAAGAATGTAAAAAGCACAGCCACTTTATTTCATTGGCAGTTCCAGCACTGATGAAATATTGTTTGTGTATGCATATGCAGATAATGTTCAAAAGAGCCACCTGAATCTTGCAGAAGAAAAGTCTGCTTTAATGATTTGAAAAGAAGTACAAGTAATCCCCAATTTACAACCACAAATGAGCCCAATATTTCTGTTGGTAAACAAGACCATTGTTAAGTGATTTTTGCCCCATTTTATTGCCTTTCTTGCCACAGTTTTTAAATGCATCACTGCAGTTGTTAAGTGAGTAACATGGTTGTTAAGTGAATCTGACTTCCCCACTGACTTTGCTTCTCAGAAAGTTGCAAAAGGAAATCCCATGACACCTGGACACTGCATCCATCATAAACACATGTCAGTTGCCAAGTGTCCAAATTTTGATCATGTGACCATCGAGATGCTACAACAGTTGTGAAAAAAATGGTTGTAAGTCACTTGTAACTTAAAATTGTCACTGAGTGAATGGTTGTAAGTTATGCATTATCTGTACTTGGTTTGCATTAATACACTTTGTAGAGCAGCTCTTAGAAGTCATTTGTTCAGCTCTTAGAGTCCAGCCTCTAATATTCTTCTATACTTTGGAAAGAAAATGTGGGATATATACCCTGTTTTCCCCCAAAAATAAGACTTCCCCAGATAGTAAGCCCAATCAGACTTTTGAGTGCATACACTAAAATAAGCCCTCCCCCAAAAATAAGCCCTCCCTGAAAATATTGCAACACAGCAGCAACCATGAGATGACCTTGCTCGTCGCCTCCTGCACCCAAAAATAATTAGACCTCCCTGAAAATAAAGCCAAGTGCTTATTTTGAGTGGTCTAAAGAAAATAAGACCCTGTCTTATTTTGGGGAAAATGCGGTAGTACTTCTTGCACTCTCACTTTATTTTAAAGAATTGTCCTTGCATGAAAAATCAGAAGAATGTCTCCTATCTTTTTGTGCAATTAAAACGTGAATGATTGCAAGTAATGGGAGTTCCCAACCTAAGCTGGGTTCTTGACATTGTCCATCCTGCTCAAGCAGCAGGAGGCTGGATCTGACTTTTCAGCTCAAATCACTTCCTTGATTCCTTAGCCTTGATGCATAAGACAGGGATAGGGAAGAATGCTGCCAAGAAGATAGTAAAAGTAAACCCACTCATGTTCGAGTTTACTTTTAAATGCAGAATTGTCCCTGGGATGTAAGACAGGCTCCAAACTTTAGAAGGCCGATAATGGAGCAGGCATCCTAATTGTTTTCTGAAGGGATATCCAGATAAGTGAATCCTGGAGCCTGATGCACAAAATTGAACAAGTGGAAAAACATTTTCATCACAAAATTCTAATGTGCACCACAGTTGAAGAACTTATCAACTATAACAATTTTCAGTGAGAAACATTTGTGTTTGGGTAAGTTGGCCACCTGCATTAACATTTGGTGACAAGCGACATCCAGCAGGGGAAGTAATTCTCAGCTATGAAATTTCACAGCTACTTTAAGGAACAGTTTAACACTTGTACTATTCAGATACTAATGTTTCAAGACCAATTCTTTATGTGTTTTAAAAGATTTAAATATTTGCAGTTACCCAAAGCACCCTAAAATTTCCCTTAAGGTTTTGCACATGCTGCTTTTTTTTTTTGATTGGGAAACTAGTCCTTTCTCTGAGGTTACGGTTCTTACATTGTTGGATAGAATGTATTTACGATTTATAATGGTTTCGGGATATGTGATACTTTTTTTTGGCTGTATGGCATTCTGAGATGGGTAGCCATATAAATCTGATAAATAAAATACATGTAAATTGTAGACTATAGTAGAAAAAATGTTCCCATTTCAAATCCATAGGTGCCACACATGTGTTCTAGAGGAATGAGAGGCATCTCTTGGAGGAGAGTCAAGGCAGATGAAAGGCTGTAGAGGAAGGAGAAAGAAAATAACCTTATATGAGCAGGGTGCCCTCAAATAACGTTGGATATAGTCCCTGTTATTGTATTTCAGTAGAAGAGTAGACTTGCTGGCTACTTCCCCCAAATAACCAGAAGAATTAGTGAAGAAGCACAGGGTAAATGAAAACATATTTATGAAATAGATAACACGTCACATATGGCCCATATAGGAAGTTGCTTTTCTATATTTACCCAAGGGTTTACTGGGATATAGCTTAAAAGTTTATTTCAGTGTTGGGATTCTAAAATAGGACTGTTTCCAGGACTTGTTATACCAAACAATGCCATTTCCTGAGCTGCTTAATCAGAATTCGCATACAGTATCTCTGATAAGGACAGAATAAGTTTAAAATCTGTACCCATAACTTTCAGGAGAATTTAAACCCAGTAAAGAAATAATAAAGACAGATTGCTAATTTTTAAAGTACCATGGCCATAGAATCTCACCTCAATTGAGAGGGGAAAAGTTATA